CGCCGCCGCGCCTTGGCGGGAGGCGCCTCGGCCCCCGTTCGGCCCGCAGGTGTTTCCCGTGCCGCTTCCTCCACAGGTGCTGTTCCGGGCGGTCACCTTCGGGCTGAACGCGTTCACTCTGCGCTACCTCTCCCGAGAGCTGATCGGCGTGGTCAACGTGAGGTGAGGGCGGGGAGCACCGCACCCCCCGCGCTCTTCGCCTGACACCGGGCTGGCAGAGGCGAGGCGCCCCTCGGAGCAGGGCTCCCGGCGGGACGGGCCCTTCGGGTTTGGTCAGGCTCTCGGGCTCTGTGGTCCGGAGGGGGTGTTGCTAATAACGCTTTGCGTAACGCTGTTTCATGTACTGTGGGTGCTTTACAGTGTTTGGTCGCTGAATCTCTCCCAAGTTATTTTTTGACTTGAAACAGAGGTAGTGCTGGCCTGCTTTCCGTGTTAAACCGCCAGCTTGATGAGGAAAAGCTAGACGAAATTGTGTGTTACAAGCTGTTGCTAGACAATAAATTTTGCAATTGCGTTTTTGGTTTATGATATGCTTGAAGTATTTTTGCTATTTGAATAATCACATGTAATTCCTTTCCCTCCTTTTTTAAAGAGATGGTGATCATTTACCTCATATCACCGTGTTCTCTTTGCATGTTTGTTAGCTTTGTGAGGCAGTCTTGTGTAAAAGCTGTCAGCGATGCTAGTACATGAAGGATTTCAGAAGTAGTATGTAAAGAAATAACTTTATCTTTTTTTTTTTTTCTTTAACTTCCCCTCATCTTCCTTTAGGCTAACTCTACTGTATTCAACAGTTGTCTTCCTAGCCAGGGAGGCATTTCGGAGAGCTTGTTTGAGTGGAAGTACAAAGCGAAACTGGACCAAAACAATTAATCTACTGTGGCTGACGTAAGATACCTTTAGAAATTAATTTCTTTTAGAATTTATTTCTAACTCTTGTCTGAGAGCTCACAATACGAGAGCAAGTATTTATTTACTGAGGTAGCAGTTTCAGTATTGAGTATTTAGTAGCCTCAGTCATGTTTCAGGACTTGATGCAGGGAACTAGTCAAGTCTGTTGCTTTAGCATTAATGGGTTTGATCTCTTTTTGGAACACATGGGAAAGTGCATCACCAAAGGTGTTTGTTAATCAGGAGGTGTTTGTTCTATTGCCTACCCTGAAGTTTATGTTGTAGCTGTTAAAGGAAAATACTGTTGCATGTAGTCCTTTATTTTTTCTTCCTCTGCCTGCTCAGTTTTGCTCTTGTATTACTTGATGTTCATTTGTGAAGCTGCTTTAGAGATTTATTTTTTTTTTCCCTCTCAAATCAATTTTTTCAAGTCTTGAGCCCTGATGTGGTTTAATGGCATGACAATGCAATTGTTTGTTTTGGGTAGGATAGATGAGAAAAGGTGCAAGAAAGAGTTGGAATTAAGCAATAGGGAGTAAATTGGATAACTTCTTTCGACTGCAGTGCCATTTATATCAGAAAGTGAATAGCTTGAAGGCCACGTGAAGCTGTAGCCAGAGAGTATAATTTCATGTTGCAGCTAAGTGGGTTTTATGACTTGTTTCTCCCTTCTGGTTCCTGAATGTATCTCTCTGCTACTTCCTCTATGTCACATCTAGCAGCTGTGGAGCTGCAATTAGGTGGGTTGGGAAGTAAGTTGATCTGCCTGATATGGTGGAAAGCTAGCCCTGTACAACAAAATAGTCGTCTTCCACTGGGGCACCCTTCTGACTTTCCATAGAACAGCACAGCTATTAACTAGATCTGGCCCAGGAATGGGGAGTTATGCATGGTCATCTGCGTCTAGGTATAAAGAAGAATAATTATCCCTTTCAGGGATAGGTTTAATACTAATTTAAATGTATTAGATCTGTTCACTGTATTATAGTAAGTTTTCTCCTATTTGACAGCCTTTCAAGGGGGCATTAAATGGTAGTTAACAATGACTGTGTGCACCTTTTTCTTTTTAAATTTTTCCTTATAGAGAAGCATAATTTAAAATGAAGATTAACTTTCTTGAAGGATCTGAAATACGCCTTAGGAACTTGATGTCAGATACCTTAGGGATCTGATAATGGGAGGATCAAATAGATCCTGCTGCAGTGGTGTAAAACTTTCTGCACTCTGCCAGAAGCTTTGTGTTCCTGAAGCAGTGTTAACAGAAGGTAATACACGTCTGCACTCCTGTGCCTAGCTTGGCTTTACCATCGCTAGTCAAAGTGGCTCTGGGCTACAGTAGAGCATTGTGAACTGGCATACCTGAGATGCAGGCATGCATTTTCTTCTGCTCGCTCTGCTGTTGCTCTCTGGAGAACCAGTGATTTCTGGGTGAGACTTACAGTTGGAGTGGTGGCATCTTTAGCTGTTACAGCAAGATCCAACGCAGCTGGTCTGCCAAACTCCTTGTAACCACAGACTATAAAAATTGCAGCAATGATGAGTTTTCAGTATTGTGCAGGCTGATATGGGATCAGAATTACTCGGTCTTAGGGAACAAGAAATACAGATAGTTGACCTTGTGTTAGGTTCTTGAGTAGAAAATAGATGAGTCAGAAAAATGTTTTCTGTGGCTTGCAAAGAGTGCCTTAAAGATGTTCATCATAAAAAAAAAAGCTATTCTCGGTATAGTAACAGTAGAAATTAATTCCTCACTGAATAATTTTTTAAAAAATTATTTTGGACATGTGTGACATTTTAATATAGTTTTCTTTATTTTTTTTCCTGCTAAAGTAACATTTCTATTGATAATGTTTTTATGTTAACTTTTTAGAGTCCCTCTTGGTGGTTTTTGGTCTGTTTTATTGGGCTTAGTCTGGCTACATTTGCTTGAAGTACCTGATCCTTCTGTGGTTCCTCATTATCAGGCTGGTGTAGTGGCATTTGGTCTTTCTGCGATTATTGAACTTCTGGGAGAACCGCTCTGGGTTTTAGCACAAGCTCATTTGTTTGTGAGACTTAAGGTTAGTAAAGTACATGGGGTGTATGCGTGTGAGGGGAATTACCATTCCGTATTGAAAAGAACAGATTCCTGAACTAGATCTTTATATAGTCAAGCATATTAAAATCCAAACCTGTGTGTACTGTTTAGTACTGTATGGCATAGTTGTAACGTGGATATGAATTTGTACCTGTTTAAGCAAAAAAAGTTGGCTTATTTAGAAATCACCTCACTGATCATTAAATGATGACTTTTAATTGGAGGGAGAGGTACACAGCTTCCACAACTTAGCATTTCATTTGATTGTTGGTATGAAATTGTGAAATGCAACAATTGAGAACATGATTGTCTCAAGCAAAATTTTCTCCTTAATGTCCCATACAAAGGACTGGGAAAGTACAGTGGCCGAATTGTGAAATATGAGAATAGAAACGATACAGAGAAATTACGATCAAAGATGGCCAACCGAGCAGAAATAAACTGTGATTTGGAAAGTCCTATATTTCTACATAAGTTTTGTGTGTGAAACTAACGTATTTTAAGTTTGTGTATGTGGTTAAGTTTGTAGAAAATAAACCTCAGTTTTTTTCTTTCTCAAAGGTAACTGCTGAAAGCCTTTCTGTAGTGTCAAAATGCACTTTGACAGTTATTTTAGTAGTCTTTTATCCTCAGTGGGGCCTCTACATTTTTTCTTTGACTCAGGTAAGTTTCCTATGTTCTGTTCTTCTGTAAATTCTCAATTCATCTGAATTTTTCTTTGCCTTTGACATTTAGCCTGTTAAATAACTTTGGGGCAGTGAGAGAAAATGCCCCTGGGAGGTTTAAGATTTAGCACTTACATTTAGTATTTTCTTGACACTTGTTATTGTCTTGATACTGTGACCTCGAGCAGTTTAATGGAGGTGCGAGAATGCACCTTCTTTTGTCTGAAGGCACATTTTGCAAATAAGGTTATTTTGTTCTGTATAAGCTTTATGTTGACTCTTAATGAGTAACATTCTAATGCTTGAAGACTCTGTTCACCTGGCTTCAGAATTAATGTTAAAGTTTGGGTTCTACTATGTGGAAGACTATAATCTGTTGATTAAAGTGTTGAGTCACCATCCCTGGAGGTGTTTGAAGAATGTATGGTTGTGGCACTTAGGGACATGGTTTAGTGGTGGACTTGGCAGTGTTAGGTTAACAGTTGGACTCAATCTTAAAGGTCCTTTCCAACCTAAATTATTCTGTGAAGTAAGAGATGTAGGCAGTAGCTTCTCTGTCAACTTGATTTTTGACTAATTGCTTCATAGTTGGACTTTAAATAATCATTCTAAAAATGCTGCTTAATAGAGCATAAAAGTTAGCTATGATAACCTAGTAATTAAAAAAAAAAAAGAGATCAACAGCATTCTTGAGATGTGTTAATGTCTTTACTAGTTTAATATTGGACAGGAATAAGGTCTCACTACATTTTCTCACTGAATTTGGGTCTCTAGTATGTAATTCTAGCATGTAATTCTACATTTGTAACTTAATTTTCACTGTTTATCTTTGCTTCTCTACTTTTCCAGCTTTTATATGCCAGTGTTCTGGTAATGTGCTATGTAATTTATTTTGTGATGTTTTTGGGATCTCCTGAAGCAACAAAGAAGTCATTTCCAGTTACTAGAGTGACAGCTCTATTACCTAACTTGGTAGAAGATGAGGTAGGTTGCACAGATTATTTTTTGATTTCTTTTTTTTAAGTCTTTCTTGAGAGAGCTTTGAAAATTAGTTTGAGATAGTGAAGTTAATAGAGAGGGCATATCTTAGCACTGTAGAAGATATGAAGATATGATTAATTAAGGAAAAAAAACCAACCTTGAGAATTCTTCATGTAGTTTGTATTAGTAAAATCCTTGTCAGAAAAATGTTCTGAAACTTGAACACTGTGGTACAGGTTTGTTGCTGAATTATCTTTTAGTATCTTTGCATAAACCCTTAGCTGGAGATTACAGAGTACATGTACAGTATGCAGGGGAATGAACGGGTATCACTGGATCAGAGGCAGGAAGGAGACCAGAGCCATTTTACCATGGATTTTGGTACTTCGACTTTTCATCAAAATAAACGTACACAGCATCCTACAGATAAATCTCTCAAGAGAAATGAGGCAAAGAAAGAAGTGAAAAGACACAGTGAAGAAGAAAACCCTTTGAAAGATCTACAGATTGAAAAGATAAAGGTGGTTCTTGGTTGCAAGACTTGTAGGAACAGTTTGAAGAGCAGTAAACAATTTGTATCTACGATGAAGGTGGAAGTTATATTGGCATACTAAACAGCATGGCGGGTTTTTTCTCTCTCTATCTTCGATTAGTATTTTCTGTAGAAAGCTTGTTTGAATACTTTATCTGCCACAGTAGTAATTTTCAGCAAGGGGAAAAAGTCTTCACCTGATCAGTGATATTGGTGCTTGAATTCAGCAGTATTTTATGTACTCTAGACTATTGTACTGGCTGTTTATTTTCTATCTCTGCTCTGTAGTTTCAATCATGTTTATTATGCTTCAGTACTTTTTTTTTTGCAGACCTTTGTGAATGGGAAGGAAGCACGGTTGACTTGGAGTTTCTTCAAACAATCCTTCTTGAAGCAGATTTTGACAGAGGGTAAGGCTTGATATATAGTTGTGATGGAGAGGGACTAGTGAATACTATTTACAAAACTGACTTAAAGCTTGAGAAAACTGGGGGCATGTGGGCGTGTGACTTTCAGAGATTGTTGCTAATAGATGTTACCAATCTGAATGAAGTTTTTGAGGGTATTCTGAACTAGGTCCTGTCCTGTATGACTTTCTCTTGAATACTTAATATTGGAAGTGTCTGAACAACTATTTGGAAAGAATTAGGGACTTGATCTTAAATTCTTTATTTTGAATTTACAGGTGAACGTTATGTGATGACTTTTTTGAACGTGTTAAATTTTGGAGATCAGGGTAAGTGTCACCACAGTACCATCACACAGTTTTCTTAGTTACTGCTCTTCAGGTGACTTAAAGTATTTGAAGATAACTTGAAAATCTGGGAAGATTTCAAAGCCTTTTTGACTTTGAGATACATTTCAGAGATACAGATAACAATTTAATTTAAGATCCTGGATTTTAACTTTTTTTTTTTTGAATCAAAACTTTCCAGTTGGATATGCAATACCATGTATCTTGTTCCTTTTTTTAAAAAAAAAACCCCAAAACCCTGACTATTACAGTTGTCTGTCTTCAGTTTTTGTAGATATGTTTTCCTGCTGTTTTCTGTTTTCCTTTTGAATCTGTGTTAGCTGTTAGGGCAAGAACATAATTGTTTATAGCACTGCATCTCAAAACTGAATTATGTTCCATAAAAGAATTCAGTGTGGTTAGTGTGTTGCAGTAGCTGTTCAGATGACTGAGTTGGCAGCACCTTGGGTCTTCATAGCCTGGGGAAGGAAAATAGATTGTAATTGTTGGCCTACTGTTAGGAGTTTCTTGGATAGTTTGAATTACTTTTAATTGCTGGCAGTAGTATGTTCCCTCATAAATGCTGAATGTATGTGCTTGCCACCAGTTACTGCAGCCACTTCTGATCCTCCTCCAGTGTGGAATAATTGAGCTGCCTCTTACTTAAAGGGTCTTTGAAAGAGCAATGCGTACAAAAAATGTCTGTGCTCTTAAAACGTTGAGAAGCATTGCTTCCAAGTCCTGCGAAATCAGCCTGAACCTTACTCTGTTAATTCATTGTGAATATATAAAAGCACTTACCCACGTACCTGATTTCGTAATCTGTCAAAGACTGTATTCTCTGTGTGTATGTATATATGCACATCGATGTCTTAGCAGGTTTGGAGCAGTATCTTGCTGAGTATGGAAGTGTTGGTAAAATGTCTCATAGGCTTGCTCTTCCCTTTCAGTGAAAGTAAAAAGAGCCACCTCATAGTAAAAATGGATCTTTCTTGTCTCCTTTATCAGTAAATATTAAATTCTGGTTTTCTTTCAGTTAAATTAATCAGGATCTTTTAACTTCCTCAACAGTAAGAGTCTTAAATGTGGCTTAGTATTGTTACTAGATTCATATCTCTGTAGTTGATGCTTTTGTCCTGGCTTTGCCATCTAATGAGCAACCCTTGTAATTTAGAGCTGTGATGGCTGACCATCAGGATTTTTAGGGAACATTGTTTTAACGTTCATTAAATTAATTTGTTTTTTCTTTGTTCGGTGGCAATGCTAAATTAGAATTCAGGTAATTGTTAAAGACTTGGAATTAAGATGTGTCTAAAAAAAAATTACAGGTTGTTGCTATGTTGGTGTTTTTGTTTTTTTTTTTTTTTAAAGGTGTATATGATATCGTGAATAATCTTGGTTCACTGGTAGCCAGGTTTATCTTTTTGCCTATTGAGGAGAGTTTTTATGTCTTCTTTGCTAACGTGTTGGAAAGAGGGAAGAACGTAAAGGATCAGAAGCAGGTATGTTTATTTTGGGTTAATTACATGTAAAATGCTTAATTTTGTTACAGATAAGTTGCATCACAGAAATGTGACTGACAGAAGCATCCGTTTAAGTTTGAGTAAAAAGGCTGTTAAAATTGAAAAGTTGAAGTGGAGAAAAAAATGTTGAGTGAGGCTGGACCAAAAAGAAAATATGTAAAATGCTGATGAAACAAATTAAGATATTTAGCAGAATAATACTGTCTTTTATTATAACTGAAGTTAACATCACCTGCTCCAAACAGTGTGATGTAAACCCTAGTGTACTGTGTATCTCCAGATACACTTAGAAACAGCACAGATTTAAATAATTGCCTATCAAATAAATAGTCTGAAAATATTTGATCTACTTGAAACTCTTAAGTAGCTGTTGAAGTATTGAAATAGTAATGTGTTGGAAGAGTGCAGTTTTGGGAAGAGGAGAATTGTATTTTTCCTGAGCTTTTGGATTATATGTGGAATATCAATGGTTAAACAAACCAGAGCTTTGTTTCACAGAGTAATATTCGTGCATGCTGTCGGTAAGAAATACTTGATCAGCCTCGGCTTTTGTCTGATACTATGGCAACTTTTTGCAGTAATTCTACTTGCTGTAGCATGCAGTTCAACAAATGCCATGCTTCAGGTCATTGGTGGGCTAAGGAAGGTGTACGTATATTTTATATATAATCTACCTGATATGTAAGTGGAAAATGGTTATGAGTTTTCACTGTATGTAGCGAAGTTACATTACATTACAAGAATGCCTCTTGTAATGAGGTAGTAGAACTGACCAAGTTACTTGCTCTGGTGTGGCAAATCCTGTAGTCCTGTACAGCAGGAAGTCTGACCTTCCCACTGCCTCAAACCGTGGCCTTGGGCAGATCTTGTGCTCTTCTTTGCTGCTGACTAGCTGTTAAACATGGGCAATTTCCTTGAACAGACATATTCATGGCTAATTGTCATGTCCCAGTTTCTCTGGAAGACTCAGATTCTCCAGTTCCCAGGTCAGGATTAAGGTGAAATGACACCAAAGATTCTTCAATTCACAGAACTTAATTTTTGTTTGCTCACAACAGATAATTGGTATGAAACTTTGTCAGTAATCTTTGCATTCTCTGCAACAAGGCAATAAACTTACACTGACCAGTGGCAGATACTAAAACACGCCCCAATAATCCTTAAGCAGGCCCTGACAAGCCTTGCCTTATATGTGGCATACAGAATAAGAATGGGAGAGAAAAGGGGAAAGAGGAAAAGAGAAAGACAAAAAGGAGGATTTTACCAGTCCTGGTTCCGTTTTTGGTCCAGGTCTGGAGGAGCACGGGCATGTGGGACTTTGACTTGTGTCCTTTTATAATTCCTTGCCCCTCCTCCGAGTGGGCGCTTGGACTCATTAGGCTAATTACACATCACGTGCAGTTTATGCTTCTAGAATTCTCCTTGCTTTTGCTACATGTGCAGTTCATACTTTGAGAGTCTGCTGGAAATGGGTTGGTCGGCTCAGGGGCCATTGGGGAGTTACTCCTCCCTCCCTGCAGGTGTGACTATTGTTTGACCTTTGTGAAAACAGCTTCTCTATTGACTCTTCACAGAGTCATTCGAGATAGGGAAGTTCAGCCTTCAAAAAGTGTGGTCCCATCTCCGCAGGACCTGCTTCTTTTGCCGTGCCTCCCTGCCGTTACCTGCACACCCCTGGTGTTTCCATAAAAACACTTTGCCAAAGTTCTTTATTGGATGGCTGAGATGTTAGCTGTGGCTTCATCAAACCGTCACACTAATATTTGTGTAGCGTTTGTAATGAATAAAGCATATAATGGAATAATAAATACATTTAAATTGTTGGAAGTTAAGACCATGTGTATGGATAAATCTCACCCCTTTTTACACTGCAGCCTATTTTTTTTCCTGTCAAGTAGCTTTTCTGTTGATTCTGATTCCTGTGATCTAATACATTATTTTCCAGGATGATGTTGCTATGGCTGCAAATGTATTAGAATTGCTGTTGAAACTTGTGCTTCTGATTGGCCTTACCATCACAGTATTTGGCTATGCCTATTCTCAGCTGGCTCTGGATATTTACGGAGGCTCAATGCTCAGTTCTGGAACAGGTAAAGATTTATAGAGCTGGCAAAGAAGCCATTCTTTCAAAAGAGAAACTTTCAGACTTGTTTACTGGGAAGGACTGTGTTTAGGAATATGGATGCAAGTCAAGTGACTCACAAGTAATTTTAGTTTTTAACCTAATGATAATGTGTGAAAATGAAATGTTGAACTTCTGTACTGACTTATTTGATCAGATATTTATGGATATATTAATTTGGATATATTTTTTTCTTTAGAGTGCTCTTTAGTGTAATGTTTTCATGCATGCCTGGAAAGAAAGTCTTTGGCTCTGCCTCACTTCTGTGGTGTATTTACTGCTCACTGGGCAGTTGTTCTTTAGAACTGAAAAAGGAGACTCAGTAATAGGAACTACGTTGCTGCCATCAAGAAAGAATATTCAGGGATGCACACTAACCTGCTAAAAAGCATAGGATTTTTTTCCCATGTTACTATATCTGAAGGTCAAGAAAAAGATTAAGGTCTGAATGGAGAGTTTTGAAGTCATGTATGAATTATCTCTGACCCATAAAAATCTGAATATAATTTTTTATCTAACACAATTTTGAATGTATTGAACAGCCTTTCTGTTTTTCTTAGTGTTGTATTCAAAATAAGCATTTTATTGCTTTTAGAACCTTGTAATGACTATTGGATTAATTTCCACATATTTCTGTACAAGAGAAGATTTGGGTTAGAATAAATATTTTTAATTAGGTAATTCCCTTTAATCCCTTTTTTATGGATATCTTTTCTCTTACTATAATAACATATTCTTGAGTGGTTTAGGTTTTGTTTTTTTTATTTGCCTTATTTATTTTTGTTCCTGTCGATATCTAGACAGAGAACTTTTTCAAATGAACTTAAGTTTCCATTATTAGTGGAATACTTTTATCTCTTAGTGAACGTAAAATCAATGTGTTTTTTAAAAGAAATAATAATCTACTTATCATTCTAACATGTTTTTTTAGGTCCAGATCTCCTCCGATGTTACTCGTTATATGTCCTATTTCTCGCTATCAATGGAGTAACAGAATGTTTTACGTTTGCTTTGATGTGCAGAGAAGAGGTAGACAGGTAGGAAATAGTGTCCCCAGAATATCCTTGTAATTATTTTGCATATGGTTTGCTTGGAGTTTGTACATAAAGAGAACAGTTGTTCTGTGTGGTTATGTGCTTGGAAATGCTCTTTTTTCCAAAGAGCAAATTTCTTTCTGCAGTCACTTTTAAAAACTGTGTTCCTTTTATCCAGAGCCAGCTGCAACAGATGGGCAAGCAAACATGCACTACTTCATTTTTTTTACATGCTTGTATTTGTTAATAAACATTGATCTTAAAAATTTATTTGTAATGACCTTATAAAAAGATTAGTGCATTTGAAATCAGCCTAGATATATCCTGCCACATTGAAAATCAACTCTTATTTAGCCGTCTGCATGTAGATTTAGATGTAGAAGCTTTAGCAGATGTTTAAACATTTGAGTAAAAAGGTCAGAAATTAAGAAATAAAGATTGTTACCTTAGCTGTTGGTACATCACTAACTGGGAAAGTAAATGTGAAGTTTTGTTTTCTGTACATATGTTCTTGAAGTTATCCTTTAAGACAAACTATCACTGCAAACTTCTTAAAAATTTGCAGCTGTTAAAATTTTTCATGTACAGTTACTGTATATCAGGTACACTTCTGAATGATCTAAATTGTGGGTCTGAATGCAGTGAATTATCTACTTTTAAGTAGGAGGTTGGACTAGATCCTTTTAAGATTCCTTCCAGCCTGGAGTATTTCTTGATTCTGTGTTCATCCTGGATTATTGATTTTGAAGCCTAGTTGCCTTCCCAGTGTTACCATCAAGGATTTTTTTTTTGCTTATGTAGCAGCTGGCCCTTACAAGGCCTTTCCAAATTAATTTCAGTGAGGTCTACTTTCCATAGTCAAAGTAGTATCTTTTTAGATTTAGCAAGGGCAGCTTTCATGAACCCTTTAAAGTGGGAACTTGTTTTCAAAGCTACTGTTTGGAGCAGAAGCTAAATAAAGCATCATCTGTTGTCCATTATTTTTCTTTAATACCTAGCTAAAACAGAAAAAAAAAAAAAAATTTACATTACTAGTCATTGTTACGACATTTTAATTTTAAAATGAGGGTACAGCTGATTAGTAAAATTATCATTTCCTTCACATAATGTAGTTCTTGGTTTAATTTGTTTGGTGTATTTTCCATTCTTTCAGTAAATTTTTTAATTGACATCTCGATTCTCCAATTTATCTTCTTCAGTTAGAAGGTGGTAAGAGAATTTCTTTTCCTCATTTTAGAAGATGAATTGTGGTATTTCTTCAAGGATAAAGTTAATAAATGGCTACTGTAACTATATACATTGCTAAATTGTTTCTTTTCTTTTTCTAGGTACAATTTTGTTATGCTGGCCTTGTCTTTCACATTTCTGTGCATCTCTTACTTCCTGACCCGCTGGCATGGCAGTATAGGCTTTATCCTTGCCAACTGCTTTAACATGGGTATTCGAATAGCTCACAGCATCCACTACATCTATGATTACTTCAAAGAAAGCACTTACAGACCTTTGACAGGCTTGCTTCCCTCACCATTTTTGGTACTTGTTTATATCCTAAGTGGAGTAATCACAGGTTTCTCAGAGGTAAGCATCTTCCTCAGATTTTGCTTTCACTATGAAAGTCAGTGTCAAATGTCTTCTGTGTCCACAAGCAGAGAAATAGCACTGGCAAAAAAGGCTTGTGAGGACAGGCTGGAAGACTTCCGTTACAGACAGGACAGTATATAATATTAAGAGACTTTATCTTTGATACAAAGTTATCTCTGACACCTGTAGAAGGTGTATCTGACATGTAAAATAAAATTTAACACATTTCCTGCTGTCTGCAGATGAATCCATGTCCTTGGTTCTTAATAATTGAAGTTTTTCAGTAACGCAGAAACTTATTAAAAATTCTGTAGTAAGTGATAGAGGAAAAAACCAAAGCAAGAACAAGAAAAAAATTGCTAAGAGCACACTTATCATATTTATTCAGACTACAAGATGGTAAGTGCACAGACTAATTATTACAGAGATGGTAGCATTTCAATGTACAAAAATTTGACAGTTTGAAAGTCTGTTATGCCTTAGAAAGGAGATCTTGATTTTTTGAAATGGGAGATTTCCGGTGGGGTTTTCTTAGAAACCAGCCTAATACATGGCTGCAAAGTAGCAGACTTTGCATGATAGCACCAGCAGAGTTGTCCTAATATCTTAACATATTTCTGCATGCCATATAATAGCACCCTCCACATTTACCAGATATCTACTGAGTGCTTATTTTTTCTGACAGTTTTCTTAGAAAGCAAGTGTTGTGACTAAAAGATGATTTCTTGTAGGATCAATGCTTGTGGCATGCTTGGCTTGGCTTGATGGTGACGTTGGCATGGTCAAGAGAGGTGTTGGATCTTTTTTGTCATTGAGATAGTAAATCTACTTTGTGCTGACTAGTTTTCCTGTAATTGCTTGTTTCCTTTGTTGTAGGTATTCTTCTGCTGTGACAAGGGTTGGATGGCAAGGCTGATTCACATCAGCGTGGGCGCTCTGTGCTTTGCAGCGACCGTCGCTACTATATTCCACACAGAGACTAAGCTGATCCACTTTGTCAGAAGCCAGTTCCTCTCCCGGTACATGAAGAAAGGAACATGAAAAGCTCATGTTCTTGTACATGCTTGCAGTAAAGGGCTGTATTTTTTGCATGAAATCTGTATGGAAGAAGGCTTCCATATGGGTTTATTGGAAACATTAATATTGGAGTGGCGATGTAAAAGACTTCCAACTGAATGTTATTTTGTCTTCTAAGCTGGTTAGTACTGTGAAAGAGAGATGAGTAACTTTATCCATCATTCTTTTCTAAGCTTTTCTTCAAACAGACTCTTTGGTAATGAATGAGCATCTAAGACACACCCTTCTGATGTAACCTAGTTGACAGACTTCGTGGAGAGAGAATCCATTCTTACCAATAGGGAGTACATGTATGAAGGCATTATATGACTTAAATCTTATGATGTAATTAAGAATGCCCTTATTTGGCATGGTGGGCTGCTGAACTGATTAGAAAATAAATAGTCTGACAAAAAAACCCAAACAAAAGCAAACAACCAAACACACTGCTCCCCCCCCCCCCCAAATGCACAGAGCGAAAGCTGAAGAAAACACTAGAGCAAGGACCAGTAGCAAGGTCACTGTTGCTGAAGTGCATCATAATGCAGTGGAAAGAGATCCAGTTGTCAGTGATTTTAAGTGTAAAGCAGTGAATGGGAAGTTCTGATGTTTACAAATTAATGACATACGCAGCATGTGTCCATTCTAGCTGTATCAGATTATTTCATTCAGCAGACAGTTCATTTGTGAGGGTGTTGAATAAGTTGTCAAAAATACTCTGAAGCCTTAGTTAAAAGAAGAAAGGGACTTTAAGCAGTGTTTTATAGGAGGTTTTAAGTATAATCACACTGGTGCTGAAGTTCCAGAAGGTTAATCATAAAACTTCTTACTTTCATTCCATTGCTTTGTTGTTATCTGAGATTTTAATGCCAGCGTGAATAGAAATGATTTTGTCCTCTGCAAATTCGAATATTAAATTTATTTTATAAGATTTCTTCCAAGAATGTATGCATATTGAAACTTTTGTTACTGGATAGAAAATGCTTTTTTCTATTGAAACCAGTTTTCATGTCTTGTTCCTTTGCTTGTTCAAACTTAACCTTTGTATTGATTTTTTTTTTTTTTTTGAATTGTTGAAAATTTGGACATTAGGAAATTGTTAAATTATATGTTAGGCTGCTGGTTTTGGGTTGACTAATGGTATATTTTTTTTTCTGGTCTAAGATCTGAATTTGGCAGTTTCAGAACATATCATACAAGTGGCAGTTTTATAATGATCAGTGTTCCCTTTGCATTGTTTGGATGGACCAAAAAATGTCAAGTGATGAAAAATGTGTCCTCAGACATGTACAGTCAAAAGCTTTTAGCTTAATTATGTAGCAATTCCTCAGATCCTCAGACTGCTTAAATTTCTTCACTGTAATGGCATTGTGAAGTTCATCCTGGTAATCATAGCTCATGGAGTGAAATGCTTTCTGGTATCTGTTTTCAGTTTGGTACTGTTAGAAACATTTTTTGAACTCTGGTAATTTTCACTTGGAGAATATCACCAGAGATGCTTTATGTGAGAATTTGGCGACTGAAAAATGATCACAGAGAAGCCAAAATGTAACAGTGGTAGAAAGAGAAAGGTGCACTTCCTCAGCTAATGGTGGTGTCTCCATTACCTGGCTGGAAGGTGCTAGAGACAGACTTGCTGATTCTTATGAAGTTATTATGAAATCTGTCTAAATAAAACCCTCTACACTATTCTGCCCTGCTAAGTGAATTTGGTAGTTTTTTGTCTTTTAAGTTTTTTCTCTTCTGAGTTATCTTGCAGCTTTTTTTGGTTTGTTTTTATCAGGTATGGAGTTTATGAAGTACAGTTCCATACATTGCAGAGGATTGAAACTTCTTTATTATAAATTGTCAATGTGTTTTCTTTACCTACTTGTTCATAATTAATAAACAAACAAGACGGTTGAACTAAAGGACTCTTTTAGGGTCTTTTTCTGCATGGCTTTGGGACCCTCCTGTGGGAATATCTCAATCTGTACAGTGAATTTTAACTAATTCTTGGAATGAGGAATTTTGTATAGCCCTGCACTTGTGCTTTGGAGACTGAAGAACTTTTCCTGCCAAATGAGCTTGCAGTCACACTGTCTTGTCTAGTCTCATGATCACAGCTGTACAGTGATACTATTTCTGCTGCTAGTATTTGCATAAATAGGGTGGTGTGAGATCGCACTGTTCAGATAGTAGGCTGTCTAGTCTTACAAATATTTTTTAACGTAAATGCTGCATATGCATTTTAAAGAGAAGTTACATCTTTAAACTAGTTTGATTTCACATTGGAAAGACTTACAATTACCTCTTGCATCTCAACAAGTGAAAGATACAATTTCATATGAATCAGGAAGACATTTAACATGGCTTAATCACTGTTCATTTGCAAATTAAGGATATCTTCCTCTTTTAATCTGTAAGCAGTTAAGTGATGATTGGCTGGGTTTTGTGGTTTTGGTTTTATTTTTTTAAAAATACATTTTATGTGGCAGGAAATGGCACAGAGGGGCAAGAAGTACAGACCTAATAAGCTGTCTCCTGGTTTCTTATTTATCTGTGATTATGTGAAAGTTAATTGCTTTATTTATAAAGAAGTAAACTCTGTCAAACTCAGGGACAAAGCTGGGATTGGGTTTGACCAAATTTCCCTTTTTTTTTTTTTCCAGTTCTGTCTGGCAAAGGCACAGTGGGAAGTTTGTAAATTTCATTGAAGCTGTTTTGCAGTGTTTTTCAGAAATCCTGTAGCTCAAGCCAAAGGAGAATTAAACTGTATTTCTTTGGAGAAAAGAATTATGATTTCATACATCATGTGATGTGGAGTTTTTTTAATAGTTGGATGTATGACATTCAAACAACTGTAAGATAAAATTTATTTCCCTTACATCTTGTTTTTGTCTTCCAGTTAAGGCGCATTGGAGTGTTATTTGTATCTTTGGTACAGTTGATGCTTAAATTTGGTTGAATATTTTAGGATCTTTTATGTATAAATTAATGTATCAACCTAGAAACTTGCACACCATTTCCTAACAAACACAGTGAGAAAATTTACTGTAGTATTTTTTTTAAGAACTGGAATCACTATAGTCACCTTTCTTCCTCTTTGCTTCTGTGAAAATGTATACTTGTATGGATTGAAATGACCATGTTTCTTTGCTTTTAAGCAATGTGTTGTTGCAATAAAAACTGTTGAAGTGGCAAGGAGTAAACCTGATACTTAATGAACGTTGTTAGCTGAATTATGCTGCAACTGGTAACACTAGTGTTAAGTACTAAACAATTGTTGAACTGTTCTTTTATTTCCTAGTATGACAAATATTTTACTTATATATAAAGAAATAGAAGGATGGGTGCACGCACACGTATTTGGGAATTTTTTTTGAAAGAAATTAGGAGTTAAAGCTTTACTTTAATGATTAATCTGCTGTAGTGGGCATGAAAAGCAATTGATGTAAGCTTGAATGTTGACCACAGGTTAGCACCCCTAAGAGGTGTTGACTTTCTAATAAGAAGGATTGCCCAAGTGTGAGTAACTTGAAGTCATCTAGACCCAGTTTGCTGGCTTCTGGATAGTGCTTAAATCTAAACTTTGAAATTCTTTTTGTGGATTTTATATTTCTTGCTGTTTGAACATCACAATTTTTTTGTGGTTTATTTTAAAGATATTACTGAAGAGAGAGGATTTGAGGCTTTTTGAACCATATCATTTTTGAACCAGATCATCAATAGATCTGCTGAGATATAATGATTTTGTTTGGCACAAAATACATCTCATTTGCATTCTGATAGTGCTATGTAAATGCAGTTCATTTTCATTATAAGCTTAAAATGAAGTTTGAAGCTCTCCACATCTGATGTACAGCTGGGCCATGGAAACTAAGTGCAAGGCATGCTCAGAAGCATTAGCAGCTGGGCGATCTAAACTAAACAGTCATAGGAAGTGCTTATCTCTGTTGTGTTTTGGATTACTTCCACAAAAAGGTGATTGTTCTCTTTGGTTTATGGATCTGAACTGTGGTTCATGCACTACCTTGCTGTGATCTAGAAGGAGGAATGGAATGAGAATGAGAAAATCTAGAAGGAGATTTTAAGTTGGGATGTCCGTAACTGCACACTGCTATCATGAGCTTCGTTCACAGATTCTGATGAGAATGCTGCTAGGGTAGGATAGTTGGTTTTCCAGATGTAATTGTGGGGGAAAGGTTTTGTTTTTGTTTTGTCAGACTTCCTGTTCAGTTGTGGTAAGTGAGCATCTAATGGAGCTCTGTGTGTTGATTTGCTGGCTAGGTTTTGTGATTCACAGACATACCTGTCTTCAGAGTGACTTAACTTCCAGAGTGTTTTCTGCCATCTCACTGAACTGAGAACATGGAAAGGAACACAACCAGGACAGACATGTTATCTCTGTGACCCTTTCAAGAAGACTTAAATTACTAAATCTGTGTTAGAAAAAAAAACAACTGAGAGACACCGCAGTTCTTAAACACAGGTAAGATGTATGTAATGTGCTAGTAAATGAGAATCATGTTTTGCTCTTCATGATGTGCTTTGGAGAGAGTGCTTCAAGAAGGGAGCAACAGAACTTCGGAGAAGACTGCAGGATTTTGCCTGTAACTTTCTTGAATGTGGGAGTACTTCAAACTCTTGCTCCTTCATTGCTCCTCCTTGGGAGAAGGAGGAGTGTGAAACTGCACTGATGCTGTTCCAAAGAGATGTGCTGGTGTCTCAGAGAGCAACTGAGGCCTAGTCATGCACTATCTCTGAGAAGAAGCCTTGTGATCACTCGTGAACGTCTTCAATTCCTTCCTTTTTTGATACTTTTTTTCTTTTTGATTCGTGACACAGTTTCACTTGTATGTTGGTAAACGATTCATAACCAGCTCCTGTACATAGATATCTCTCTTCTATTTGCTGAAAATTCAATTTCGGCAGTCTCAATGTAAAAATGTGTTAGGTCACCAGAGTCCTGCACTGGGGTGGAATGAGGGAGGTGTCAGCTAGCTGAAGGTTATATTATGGCCTGTTTGCAAGCCCTGACAGCAGGGAGTGAGGAGGGAGCAAATTAAGGTTGCACAGAAGACTAACTGGGTCTTCTTTTCAGTTCTGGATGCTTGACTTGGCAGTACTAACATTTTCCTAATGGAAGTTTTTTGGGGAATAATTTTATAAAGCAAGTACTATAAAGTGTGCTTAAGCCTTCTCTTATTTGTGTAATGATTTTTAGCAGTCTTTTGGGGCTGGTGGGAAAGGAAGAGGGGAAATGTGGCAGAGCATGGTACGTGTGCAGGGACTGTAGTGTCCCTCTGAGGGAAGGTCATTAGTCTGTAAGTTACTTCATCTCTGGATGCATTTCTGTCACTGCAAATAAAACTCTTTGAGTACATATGTGCACAAGTGCTTCTCTAGGCAACTAGTAGAACATGCTTGGAAGAAGCGGATTATGTCTATGAAGTAGAATATACTTTGCTGCAGACTGTTTATCATTCTGCTTTGCTGGTCAAGTAGGCTTTTATTTATGCATTGAAAATACAGATAATAGTGTGTGACAATATTCTTTTTCTCTCTAACAGTCCTCCCGTTTGAGGTAGACTATGTAAGTCTGGAAACTGGGTTTTCCTGTGGTTCCTTCAGAACTGTACTGAAGGGGTTTAGTATTCATACCCC